GAATCAGGATCTAAAAAGATCCTGACAGGCTAGAAGAATGCCCATCTAACAAGGTGAAACTTGATAGGGATGTGTAAAGTTCTATACTTGGGCTAAAAAAAATTAACTCCACAATATAAGGATGGATGAACCAGTGTGTGGCTAGATAGCACCTCCTATAGAAAAGATCTGGGGGGTCTTCGTAGATGGGAGGTTCAACAAGAGTCAGCAGGGTGACATGGTAGCCAAAAAGCTCATGCTATTCTAGGCTGCACTGAGAGAAATATAGTTCTTTCCCATTCAGATTCCTTCCAAACACTAGAGTTTCTGTGATTCTGGAAGCCCCTTTAAATTAGACAACTACCTCATATAGCATTGAATATAAACATCAATTGAATATAAACAACATCTTATCCTTGTTTTGAGGCTATCATACAATTAGCCAGTGAATATGAATTCTCGAGTTTGGGACCTTCTGAAAGATTTCTAATCACATTAGTATTGGTGGTCTATGATGTGATCAGTTTTGGGGGGCCAAAATTGTCTGGAAGTTCTTCTACTAACTTTCTCCAATATGTCCATTAACTATTTAGAATCACTAAAAAGTTAGAGCCAGAAGGGATCCTAGAGATTGATTACCAGTCCAACTCCACCATTTTATAGAAACTGAAGCTCAAATAAAGGAAATAACCTGAAATGTAGCTAATCGGTGGAAGAACAGTGGATACAGCCAAGGTTACTTGGTTCTGAGTTCAACCGTCCTTCTGCTATATGATGCTTCATAAAAAGACAAAATGATATCCTGTTGTGAAGAGACAAAGGCTAGATTGTTAATAGGTGAAGATTCACCTTTGGCATGAAAAGCAGGAGGCTGGAATTTATTCACAACCAGTTCACAAACCAGTCAAGGTCTCCATTTGAAGCCAGAAGTTCAGAATGTAGTAAAGCAGATATAAAGGTGTCAAGACAGAATGGAGTAGATGGCTGGCATTCAGCACCTGTACAATAGTCCCAAAGTAGGGATGTGCTGGTAAATGTTTAACAACTGACTCTGAAAAACTAACAACCATATGCATGACAAACTTTTAGGTTTAGTGTGCTTTATTTACATTTTCTCCATTGCTTTCTTAAGTCTAGACAATCAACAAAATAACAAATCAAGCTCTGACATTTGCCTATCTCTAAGATGCAGATGCTCACACTGGAAACAACAGCTGGCTCATGACTAATTTGAAGTATGTATATTTTATCCCTTGGACAATCTATGGCATCTTTGCAAACCACGACTTTTCTCTGTGCTTTATGTATCTTCATTTATGTGAATGCTCTAATGCTTAAGGTTCTGGAAAGACAAAACCAATACTAAGAGCTGTCTAACTGCAGTAAGACCTCAAATGTCCCTGAGTCAGAAGTGCCTCAAGCTCCAGCACCATGCACTAAATAAACACTCTGCAGGCTGTGAAAACCCAAAGGCCATTTTATAGGGACAGGCAGCCCGTCACTCTGCACCTACCTCTTACAGATGCTAGGAAGCTATTTACAGCCAAAGAGGGCCCAGGCAGCCCCTTCCAGAAACTTGATTACTCTGTTTATGATGACTCCAGAGCCAAGTAAAAACTCCCTGCTGTTCTATCCATCAGCAGCAGCTTTAATGAAAGGTATAATCATTTCCAAGCCCCTACCCCAGTTGGTGAAAGACAAGATGCAGACTGCTTCCATAATCTATGAACATAATCAATTCCACATAATCTTTCCATAAGGCCCAAGACAAATATGAAAACACAAGGCCAAAGTCAAGAGATTTTGCCCCATTATTCCTATCAAGGCAGTTGCCTTTGCAAGAAGGATGGTGGAGACAGGTCTCTGATATTCACACAATCCAAAGGTAGATTTTTCACTGTGACCCATTAGATTTCCATGTTCCTACTCAAAAGCAGTGAGACTTAATGGTAGCAATTGTTTGTTGGATTTTTTTTGCTCTATAACAATAATGATTGTTCACTGTTAAAATGTGAGCTCTATTTTGTTGTATTTGGTTGTATTTCATAAAAGTTGCATGCAAGTAGATTTGTACAGGTTGAACAAAGTTGTTTATAATTTAAAGGAACCCTCTGATGAGTCCTTTGGTGAAAGAACCCTTTTGTAATGGGGATCTTCCCTCCCAGTCCCTATCCCCCTTACCCACTTATCTGCATCTAGCTGTACAGTGAGGAGGTCTGGCTACATGGTGACTAAGGTCCCTTTCTAACTCCAAAATCCTATGGTTCTGCAAACCAAATAATTGTACATTAGGTGTTCTTAAAGATGGCGCACACCTGTATTTGGTTCACTCCAGCAAACTGAGAACATTAAAGGCAAGTAATCTGATGATTTAGTCAGGGCTGATTCAGAGACCAACCACAGCAAATTGACACTTGTATAATTCTCTGGATAATAGGATCACAGAATGTTAGAACTGGAAGGGAAATGAGAAGCATATAGCCCAACTCCCACATGATACAAATGGGGAAACTAGGGTCCCATAAGGAAGGTAAGGAGATTTACCCAAGGTTATTCCACTAGGAAGTGACAGGATGGGGGTCTGAAACTTCTTTTGAGTCCCAATAAAGGGGCAGCCCAACCCTCGGCTATGTGGAACATGGTCAGTGGACACCTAGAATTCAGATCTACAGGTTCAGTAACCAGCAGCAATGCCAGGAAGAGGGAACAAAGCTATTTCTTTGCATTGTATGCAAAAGGACTTCAAAAACCACAAGGTTTCAGGAGGAAGCTAGGTGGTGCATTAGATAGAGCACCAGCCCTGAAATCAGGAGGACCTGAGTTCAAATCTGGTCTCAGACACTTGCCACTTGCTAGCTGTGTGACCCTGGGCAAGTCGCTTAACTCCATTGCCTAGCCAAAAACAAAACAAAACAAAACAAAAACCCCCATAAGGTTTCTATCTAGATGCTGAGTGTCTTTATTGCCCTAATAGAATGACTTCACAGAGCAGGGAATTACCAAGTTGCTTAACACATAAATAGTGTTGCAATTTGAGCATTCACTGATTCATTCAAATATTCACCAAACACTTACTGCATACCAGGCACCCTCATTCAGCATTTTTCCCATTAAGCAATATCTTGTGTGCAGTACTTAATGAATATTTGTTGAGTTGAATTAAAAATCAGAAGGAAACAGATGCTTCCTTTGCAAACTGACTACAGGTATTCCCTTTTCTTAAGAAAAGAAAGTCACAGATATCTTTTGTTCTTATATCACCTTCATTTCCAAATGTACCTGTCTTCCCTTCCCTATCTATCAAGCCATACCTTGGAACAAAGAATAAAACATAAATAAAAAAGAAAGAGAACAAAAGCATTTCAACAAATTTAACCAACATATCAACCGAGTCTGGGATGAATACAACGTTCCAAATCCATGCTCACTCATCTCTGCAAAGGAAGGGAAGTTAAGTCCATGTTCTTATCTCTTTTCTGAGGCCAGGCTTGTTCCTTATAACTATACAGCATTCAGTTTTATGTTTTTATTCTCTCATCGATATTGTTCTAACCATCGTGTATATTGTTTTCCTGGTTCAAGGCAATCTCTTTTTAACTCTTTACATTTCATCAATCCACTGATTTAAAGCTGCCTAATAAACTCTTATACTTCATTTTCTTGTCACTTTGACCACACATTCAATGTTTTCTACAAATGTCCGAAACAAGTAATAGTATAAATCAGGATTTGGGCTCATAGAGATATACTCTATGATGTGGCCTGCAAGAACATATCATGTCTACATGAGGGTATTACCAATATTAGACAGTCAAACACTCATAGCAGGGTGTGCTAAAAAGACAAAGGTCCCTCTCCCTTAGAAGTTTATAATCTTTTATTTAATTTTACTTTGCCTAGTTCTGTAAGTTCATTGGCAAGTTAACATGGAGAATTCTCCATGACCTCTCTATTGATGTAGATCAGTAACTGCTAGGCAATCTTATAGAATTATGTGAAGCATTGCAACGTCAAGGGACTTGGCCAAAGATCGCACAGCCAGAAAGTGTCAGAGGTAGGAAGTGAACTCAGGTGTTCTTGAGTTTAAAGCTAGTTCTCTATGATACCACACTGCCTCTCATGGGACCTTATAGTCTTAAAGATTTAAGAGAAGATACAGCTACTCACACACACAATTTAAAAAACAGATACATCTGCAAACATATATATTCACACATAAGACCCACAGTTTAGCCAAACATATTTTGTTTAGCTTTTTGCTTTCCCAGACCCTGCCTTGTATTTCAGGAGAGTGAGAGAAGAAGAATGCTTTGGAGAAATGAGGAGGCTCAAGGCAGGAAAGGTTAAAGTAAGAGCTAAAGAATAGAGAATGAGCCAATGAATTAGGACACTGTAGAAACTGGAGGGATGGAAGAAACTACAGGAGCTGACAGTGGAAAGCAACAGGGAGTAGGAGTTATTTTGGAATGAAAGGCAGGCTATGAGGAATAGGAAAGGAGCTAAAAAAATAGCTTTTATCAACAACTAGTTCTCTAGGTACCTCAGAATGCATCAATCCATAGCTTTTATTTTATTTTCAGATATATTTTCCTTTCTGATTCTGGTGTCTAAGATCACTCTCTTCTGGGACATGCTCCATTTCAGAATAAAAGCCAAAAATCATTTCAGGAGCCACAAAACTTTAATATGTTTTTTCTAAGGCAGTGTAGGTCCCAACTAAATATGTGAATGAAAAATGGAATAATTGCTTTTGTATATTCTTTCCCCTTCCAAGTACGTGTGTCAAGTTTTCTCTCTCTGAAACTAGCTGTACCAAATTAAGTTATATATTACCCTCTGGTGATATATCCTTCCAAACTACATTAAGCCACATCTGCAACACATTCACTTCATCCAACTCTGGAAGCAGAAAGACATATAGCAGAAAGACTGTGTCCTTTTTTTGTCCAATACCACATATGAACAGGTGTTACAAATGCTGCTGCTGATGATGACAAAGGTGAAATTGCTTTCATACTCACATTTGTACCGGAAGCAGTAGGAGAGAAAGTGGGATTTGACTGAGCAAAGGACCTTGTTGGAACCACAGCAAATGACGATCCAATATTTGAGGCAAAATCTAAAGGAATTACATAAGGCCAGTGGGGAAAAAAAGAGACAGTCACATTGCTTTCAAATGTCAACTGCCTAGGACTAAGAGGGAAAAGGGATTTCTTTTAAAAATGCTTTCTAATGTTTATCATGATTATTTCTCAATTTCTCTCGGAAACACTTAGTATTGACATAAAGATCTACTTTTAAACAAGCAACACGGAAAATATCAATATGTGAAAAGCAGAATACGTTTGATTTTCTGAAGATTTTTAACTTTGGAAGATGGGACACGGAGGAAGTCATGGGGTTGACAAATCTCAAACAAGATGTCATCAGAAACCTGACTTCATATTCATGTTAGTAATTCTCTGGACACTCCTTACCGTCAGTTCCAGGTGCATTAAAAACAGCTGTGCTGTTAGGTGAGGCACACAATGCTCCTTCTGCTGAGCCAACAACACATCGAATACCCGCACTAAAGAAAAAAAAAATCAAAGGGAAGGAGTAAACATAAAAAAGAAGAAAAAGTTAGAAGAAAAAGAATAATATATTTACCTTAGGCTTGGAGGGGAGATAAATAATTACCAATCATACAAATGTAGAATTTGAGAGTTGGAAGGGTCTTCAGTGACCATCTAGCCCAACCCATAGAAACACTCACCTTAATACACCTGAAAAATAATCTAGCATGTGCTTGAAGATTTCAAATAAGGGGGAACCTACTACTTCCTAAGTCAGCCCATTCCACTTTTGGACAGCTTTAATTTTTTGAAAAGTTCTCCTGACATCAAAGCGAGTTTGCCTCTTTCTAGCCTCTATTCTTTGCTCCTAATTATACCTTTTGGGGTAAAAATCTTATCCCTATTCTTACATTATTGGTGTTCAATTGTTTTTCAGTTGTGTCCAATTCTTCATGTCCCCACTTGGGGTTTTCTTGGCAAAGATACTTAAATGGTTTGCCATTTCCTTCTCCAGCTCATTTTATAAATGGAGAAACTGAGGCAAATAGGGTTAAGTGACTTGCCCAGGGTCACATACCTAGTAAGTATCTGTGGCCAGATTTGAACTCAGGAAGATGACTTCAGGCCCAGTACTCTATCCAATGAGCCACCTGGCTGCCCTTATTCTGTATGACACTCTTTCAAATGCTTGAACACAGCCATTGTTTCCCAGTTTTCTTCTTCAGGCTAAACAATGCCCCCTGTGCCAAGTTCCTTTGACTAATCATCATATGTAAAGCACTTTGCAAACCTTAAAATGCTAATATAATTGTTACCTATTATTTTTAGCATATGACATGGACTCAGTTCAGTGAATGGGGTGCCCTCCTGTGCACCCTCTCCAGCTTCTCACTGACATTCTTACACTCTGGTGCCTAGAACTGAATCTAATACTCCCTACGTGGTCTGACTAGGGCAGAGTACAAAGGGTGATCTCTCTTTATGCTTAGAAGATATGGTCCAAGATCACATTGGTTTTGGGTGCTGCAACATCACCTTGGTGACTCATAGCTTGAAGCCCACTAAAACCCAGATCTTTTTCAGACAAACTGCTCTCTAACTGTGATGCCATTTTGTACATATGAAGCTGAATTTTTAAACACAAGTGTAAGATGTTTACCCCTATACTGAATTTCATTTTATTAGACTTAGCCCACTGCTTTAGATTGTCAAGATCTTTTCAGATTATGACTTTGTTACCCAGTGTGTTATCTCCTAGTTTTGTGTAACCTGAAAAATGTTGTTATATCATCTATGCCTTTCACTTAGCCTCTGCCTCAGTTTCCTCAACTATAAAATTGAGATAATAATAGCACCTATTTGATGGGGCTCTTGTGAGGATCAAGATGTCTATGAAGAACTTAGTACAGTGCCTAGCACATAATAGGTGCTGAATAAATCCTTGTTCCCTTTCCCTTCCCCTTACCCATTTCATTGATGAAAATGTTAAATAGTACAGTATTATGCACTGGTTCCTACAAAGTTGACTTGGAACCATCAATGATTCCTCCTTGAATATGGCCAGCCAATTCAGGTCTGAAGGCATCTAGCTATTTTATTGTCTAGCCTAAAGCTCCCCATCATTCTTACAAGAATAATATGAGAAATTTTTATCAAATGTGTTGCTAAAATCTAGGCAAACAATATCTACGGTTGTCCTATTTACCAACTTAGAAACCCTTCAAAAATCAAAACTATACTTGATGAAAAAATTTTAAATTAAAACAACTCTAAGGTACCAATTCAAGCCACCAAATTGGCAAAAATAAACAAAAATGGCATAACTCAGAGCTTGAAGGGATATGGGAATAACACATCCTCATACATTGCTGGTGGAATTGAAAACTGGTGAAGTCTTTTTGGAAAGCAATCTTCCAAAATAGTGTAAGAGTTACAAAAAAGAATCATGCCATCTACTCCAATAGTCTAATTTTCAAAATACATCTTAAAATGTAACTTTAAAAAAAGCTCTCTTCAAATGTATTTTTAGTACCAATATTTGTGATTAAAAAAACTGAAAGGAATTTAAATGGCCAACAATTTGAAAATGAGTGAATAAATCCTATCATATCAATACAATGGGATACTATAATACAATTTAAGACTGACAAATATGAGGAATATGATTAAATATAGAAAGATTACTATAACATGATGTGAAGTAAAGAAAACAGAACCAAAAATTAAGTCTTCACATTGATTATCATGTAATAAAAGGGAAAAAAAAACATAATGAATATGAATGGATGAAGTGGTGTGGATGAAGATGGAGGAGGGATTAACAGAGTATTACTACCAAAGGTCATTTTTAAGTTTAAAGAGTTATAAATACAAGCTTAATTGGTTTTGGTTTTGTTAAAAGTTAAGTTTGCAATAAATTATTTATTTTCAAAGGAAAAAGAGACTGGCTAAAGGAAAGGACTTAAATGTCCATCCTCTTCAAATTCTTTGAGAACAAAGGACAAACAAAAACAAATGGTCATCCACTTTTGTCAGCAGAACTCACCTTTCAGAGAAGGTCATGCATTTCTGAGTGTGCATTTTCCCTTTGACATGCTGCTCCCAGTCCTAGGTCAGAAGAAGATGATGAATGATCAAAGGTCACTCTAGCACATATTGAAGGCAGATGAGTAACAGTAGGAAATCACACTTATATCATACTTGATGGCTACTAAATTCTTTCTATACATTATTTCACTGGCTCCTCATAACAATGCTATGAAAGTGGTATTGTCCCCCATTTACAGATGAGAAAACTGAGCTGAAGTGGAGGTCTAAGGATAGAATTCTTAAGATTCTATAGGATCGTCAAGGATAGAAGGAAAATTCTTTCTGGAGAGACAACATATACATATACAAGTATATTCTAAATATGTACAAAATAAATACAAGGTCATTTGATGGGAATAATATCTGAATCATCAGGAAAGACTACATGAAGAAGGTGGTATTTCAGACCTCAGATATGAAGGAAACTAGGGATTCTAGGAGACAGAAGTAAGGAGGAGATGCACTCCAGGCAGGTGCAAAGTCAGGGAGATAAGAGAAGATTTCATGTGTGAGGAACGGCCAATTTGGCTAGAGTGTGTAGTGTGTGTAAGAGAGTGATAATGGATAATAAGGAAATAAAGATAGGTCAGAGCCAAGCTGTGAAGAACTTCAAATGCCAAGCAGAGGAGTCTGTACTCAATTCTTCAGGCAATAGGATGCCACTGGCGTCCACTGAGCAGAGGAATGACACGGTCAGACAAGGTCACCAAGCTTTCACGGTGGATAAGGAAAGAGCGTGTAATAGACCAGGTGACATGAGCCAAATGCCCTGCCCTTCTCTGCCTTACCTTTAGATCAAAGACTTTTTTATCACAGATGGTGCAGATGTGTGGCAGGTGGAGAGGTGCAATACCATGAAAGTCGTTTAGCTCATGAGCCTGGAGAGGCCTCATGGACAGCATGGGCTCCTCCTTCCCTCGCCGCTGGGTGCCACTGAAACTCTGCTTCTTGTTGAAGGAAGCAGGGGTCGAAGGCCCAAACTTGGTGTCTGGTGTGGGTTCTTCTGGGTCATACAGCTCATAGGATTGGCTGATTGGTGGCCATTCCCATTGGTTATTTGCTCCAGTGCCATCGAGCAGTGGGTCTACCTCTCCTTTAGGACCGCCTGTGGAGGGTGTATTCATGTGCTGCTCTCCAGGGAACCCCAGGGGCTGTCCTTGGGAATTGGGCCCATAAAAGTCTTTGGTGAAGCTGGCTTGACCATCTTGCTTTGGGTGCCCTGTATGACTACACTGACCCTCATAGGTCACCCCAGCTGAGGTGGCACCCGATGTTGGCAGAAAACTCGACTGATTATCAGCATCTGAACCATAGGCCTGAGTACTACTAGCTTTACCATAGTCATAGAACCCCGCCACAGCAGGAACAGGGCCAGTTTTGCTGATGCCCAGGACAACTGCTGGTTGATTAGAGGTCTGAGATATGACCCCACCAAAAGGATGCATCACCATGGTATTGGTAGCCTGGCTGGGCAGGCTCATGGATGGTCCCAGGCCCTGTCCTTGACTGGGAGGTGAAAACGTGATTCCCCTGGAGGAAAACCTGGCATTTGGCATTACTGCTGGGTGCTGGGGGGCCCCAGCGTGGCTGTGCGGGGTAGTAATCGCAGATGGATGTCTCAGCTGGCTGAAGAGGGGCTGAGACATAGCCACTTTGGAGAGGACCTGGTTCAGAACCGTGGCAGCCGCAGTGTTGCTGGTGACCGCGGACTGTGCCAATTTCAGCCGGTGGAGAGTCAGCTGGGCTTGCAATTGGGCCAGCTGAAGACTTGCAGGTGATGGAAGCAGAGGACTTGGATTACTGACAGAAAATGGGTTCTTGTCCAGCAGCTTGGCAGCACTGCAAAGAAACAGGTTTAAATTGGTTTTTATTTTAAAGAATCACTTATAAAGGGGGCAGCTAGGTGGCACAGTGGATAGAGCTCTGACTTTGGAGTCAGGAGGACCTGAGTTCAAATGTGACCTGAGACACTTAACACTTACTAGCTGTGTGACCCTGGGCAAGTCACTTAACCCCAACTGCCTCACCAAAAAAACAAAAAACAAAAAGAATCACTTATAAAAGACTACCTAACACAATCTCTGTCCTTGAACTCAAGACCCACAGACAGATTCTTTGTGGGCCAAGAGCTTTGCTTACCACCCCAAAGTTCATTGCTTCTTGTCCCTCAAGAAATGTCTGTAGAGAAGGAAAGTCATATATCCTTAGCAAAGAAGGGGGCAGGGGGATGCAGTGACACCCAGGGCCCTTTCTGCATTCTAGCCAAACTAGACAAATCATTCTTGGTATTTTCTTATCTTCCCTTTCCCACTCCATGCCTTTGCTCATAGCACAATGGGTGCTTACAAAGTAACACACCTGGCCCCTCCATAGGTACTTGTTGAATGGCTTGCCAACCTTGAATGGCTTTCACAGGTGCCACTTGATTTATGGGGCTTTCCCTGATCTCACTTGATGGAAGCGATCACCTCCTCCTCAGATATGTCACTGAACTTTGTACTGGGATGGACTTGTAACACCCCGTTTTGTATTCGACTGTAAGTTCCTTGAAGTCCAAGGACCATGTTTTGTCGTTAGCCCTTTTAGTGTTTGACATAGTACCTTGTATTCCAATGGACGCTCACAGTTCTGTGAGAATTATCCATGAATAATTCCTCACTCTCGTCTCACATTTTCTTTTCTTTCTTTCTTTTCTTCTCTCTCTTTTTTTTTAGGCTGTTGGGGTTACGTGACTTGCCCAGGGTCACACAGCTAGTAAGTGTCAAGTGTTTGGGCTGAGGCCCGATTTGAACTCAGGTCCTCCTGACTTCAGGGCTGGTGCTCTATCCACTGCGCCACCTAGCTGCCCCTCACATATTTTCTTACGGGTGACTTGTGACATATATAGATAGCCTTTCTAATCTTTGTGGTATGACCCAAGACCTTTGTCTTAGGCTTGTGCTGAAAATTCAAAACGAATTTCAAAATTCAAAAATTCAAAATCCGTATTACATTGTTCAGTACACAGGATAGACTTCACACAATAAGCAAAGCATATAATTAAACAAATGATATGTGGGGGGAGGTTTAGGATAAAGAATTTTCTACATTATACTTAAAACACATCCAGGAAAGGTTTGAGGGAGGGCGGCTTTGCTTGGGGAGTTCAGTTCCTCAATCAGAGAAATGTTACTTTCTCTGTCTCTGTCATGAAATAAGTGTTCAGGGAAGTATGAGGCTAGGGACAGGAGTCGGTCAGGAAAGGAGCTGGTACAGGATCCTCATAGCATACAATTTCCACTCGCCTCCTGAGTCATGTATTCACCGTATGGCTTCATTGCTTTGTTTGAAGTGAATTCCTAAAACAGTAGGCACACCCATATTTAAATGCCAGTACAGAAACATATTCCAAAATCAAACTTCTGGATCATCTTTTCTCTCCCCTTAATGAATAATCAAGGGATGATTACATTGGACTAAAGGTGCGAGCCGACCAACAGACAATACTCTCTCCCTCGGAGTGCAGAGCAGGTCAGCTGTATTTTAAGAAGCTTCTGGAGGGCAGACAAGGATGAAGATACCTTTGCTCTCTGGGGAGGTTTTCATGGCTCGGGGCAGCAGTTGGAGTTGGACAGGGACAAAGATGCAGAGGGAGGAGGGTTAGGAAGGTGCTAATTGCCTGAGTAGGTGAGAATATGAAAGGAAGCAAAGGATGGTCAAGGGGCTGGTGATAGACCCTTAATGCTAGCCAGTATTAAGTAGCTAAGCTTTGGAAGAGCAATTAGGCTTAACTCAAAACCCTATCCATACAGCAGCCAAACCTCCCTACCAGTTTTTCCAAAACACACCCTGTCCTCACTAACAAGGTGCTAATGAGGTGCCAAAGGAGTTTCTATAACCAGAATGGGAAAGGATTTTTTTTTTCTGAGAACTCAGCTGGATTTTCCCCAAACACAAAACAACAAAAAAAAACAACTCTGGGCTGTATTTTTGACCAGGAATTGTTGGGGTTCGGGGTCAGTAGGGAGAGAATGCGTATAGAAGGTTTATCTTTTCAACCCGGTGTTGTCCACCATTTTAAAATACTTGCAGGCTTGGCATAGGGAACCAGTAATCTTGGAATCAGGCCCAGAATATACAGCTGGTGGTCGGTTTACCCTGAGACCCAGCACAAATCAAGAAGAAAGACCTGTCTGCCTACCATTGATAGAACTCTACTATTTGCTTGACAAAATCTTAACTACTGCTAACTTGATATTCAATTTGAATAAAAGTTTATCTATCCTTATCAATTAAAACTGAAAGGCTATTTTAGAACGAAAAAATGTAGAGATGCCAAAAATAAGTGGGAAGTTTAACAGTATTTTTTAATAGCTCATCTTTCAAATGTCAGTATCTACCACTTCATCACAGGGCATTAACATAAATTCGCTTCTGATACATGAAGGAAAATTATGTGGAGGATTTTCTGTGGAAAGAATGAATACCCCAGTAGTCCTTTCTGCTACCCTGGAAAAGAGGGGAAAGGCCCTCAGACGTGGCATCTGACAACAGCTGGTCCAACAATAAAGTGGCACTGATCTCCTGCCCTTTAGACTCCAAGTAGAAGTGAAATCTCAATAATCAAAAGTCTCTGGCTTCTGATGGTTCACTAGCTTATGAAAATAATGTTGTCAGTCAATGTGGCCCATGGGGAATAATTTCACACCATCCATTCTAGCTTTGGTATCCAGGCACTCGAGGTTAGGAATTAATCTAGCATGAAATAAACTTCTCAATGAAATAAGAACCATTCCCAACTGCAGTAGCCTATAAGAGGGCTGACACAAGCATCACCACAGCTCACCATCTGCCATGACAAAGGTGACTTAGGGAATGGGGACAGAACTGGAAGCAAGGTAGAACAAAGACATTATCTCTTGTATACAGTGTTATCCAAGCCAGCCATGAGATGCAAAATGTTAGCCCCTGAAAAGACTTTTTACCTCAATTAGTACAATCAGCTTATTTTAGTAAAGAGGAAACTGAGGCCCAGAGAAGGGGAGTGACTTTCTCCTGGTCACACAACTAGTTAGTGGCAGAGCCTGCACTGGAACCAATATTTCCTGCCCAAAGGTTTTCATGCTGCAAGGCAATATTTCCCAGAGGGCAAATGAGCCTAGGAGGCAAAATACCTTTTTTGAATTTTTTTTTTTGTGGGGAAGGAAGATGGGCAGAATGTTGTTTGAATCCTGTGTGCATGTCAGCAAACTAAGTTCCCTGAAGGAAAGAGGCATTTTGCTTTCTTTTTTCTCTCTCTTTTTTATATTAAACATTTATTAAGTTATTTATTTTTAGTTTTCAATATTCACTTCCACAAGATTCTGAGTTTCAAATTTTCTCCCCATCTCCCCCCTGCCCCTGCCCCAAGAGGGCATGCATTCTGAATACTCCATCCCCTAATCTGCCCTCCCTTCTATCACCCTCCTTCTCTTATCCCCTTCCCCTTTTACTTTCCTGTAGGGCAGGATATATTTCTATACCCCATTGCCTGCATATCATATTTCCCAGTTGCATGTGAAAACAATTTTTAACATTTGTTTATAAAACTTTGGATTCCAAATTTTCTCCCTTCCTCTCTCCCCACCCACCCTCACTGAGAAGGCAAGCAACTCAATATAGGTTGTACTTGTGTAGTCATGCAAAACACTTCCATGGTAGTCATATTGTGAAAAACTATATTTCCCTTCCATCCTATCCCGCCCTCCATTTATTCTATTCTCTCTTTTAAACCTGTCCCTCCTCAGAAGTATTTGCTTCTGATTACCCCCTCCCCCAATCTGCCATCCCCTCCATCATCCCAGCTGCTCTCTTGTCCCCTTCCCTCCCTATTTTCCTGTAGGGTAAGAAAGATTTCCATACCCAATTGAGTATGTATGTTATTCCCTGCTTAAGCTAAATCCTATTAGAATAAGATTCACTCATTCCCTCTCACCTTCCCCCACTTCCCCTCCACTGCAAAAGCTTTTTCTTGTTTGTTTTATGTAAGATAATTTACCCCATTCTACCTCTCCCTTTCTCCTCTCAGTATAATCTTCTCTTACCCCATAATTTTAATTTTTTAGATATCACTACATCTTCAACTCACCCTGTGCCATCTATCTATCTATCTATCTATCTATCTATCTATCTATCTATCTATCTATCCATATAATTTTTCCCCTCCAACTACCCTAATATTGACAAAGGTCTCATGAGTTACATCTTTGCATGTAGGAATGTAAACAGTTCAACCTTAATAAGTCTGTTATGATTCCTCTTTCCTGTTTACCTCTTCATGCTTCTCTTGAGTTTTGTATTTGAAAATCAAATTTTCTATTTACCTCTGGTCTTTTCATCAAGAATGCTTGAAAGTCCTCTATTTCACTGAGTGTCCATTTTTTCCCCTGAAGGATTATACTCAGTTTTGCTAGGTAGGTGATTCTTGGTTGTAACCCTATCTCCTTTGACCTCCAGAGTATTATATTCCAAGCTCTCTGGTCTCTTAATGTAGAAGCTGCTAAATCTTGTGTTATCCTGATTGTGACTCCACAATACTTGAATTGTATCTTTCTGGTTGCTTCCAATATTTTCTCCATGACCTGAGAACTCTGGAATTTGGCTACAATATTCCTAGGAGTCTTCCTTTGGGGATCTCTTTCAGCAGGTAATCATTAGATTCTTTCCATTTCTCTTTTACCCTCTGGTTCTACAATATCAGGGCAGTTTTCCTTGATAATTTCTTAAAAGATGATGTCTGGGCCCTTTTTTTGATCATGGCTTTCAGGTAGTCCAATAACTTTTAAGTTATCTCTTCTGGATCTATTTTCCAGGTCAGTTGT